AGCTGGATGTGGTAGCATGCACCTGTAGTTCCTGCTACTTGGAAGGCTGAGATGGAAGGATCACCTGAGCCCAGCAGGTTGAGGCTGAGGTGGTCGTGATTGTGCCTGGGCAGCAGAGTAAGACTCTAACTCAAAAAAAAAAAAAGCAAAACAAAAATTGAGATATGTGAAGAGAGTGTAGAAACACAAAACAGATAGGATCTGCTTAGTTTAGATTATGATAAATGCAAAATGGTCCTCTGGCAATTTAAAATGCATCTTTATTTGATGGAGCACATTGTTTAAAACGTGCCTGTGTATGCATTCATAATACATATATAATGTAAAAAAATGATCTAGGTATATGCTGATATTTTGTGTACTTTTTATCTTTCCAATGCAGATATGAATATCATTGGGCAGATGGAACAAACATAAAGAAGCCTATTAAGTGCTCTGCGCCAAAGTATATTGATTACCTGATGACTTGGGTTCAGGACCAGTTGGATGATGAGACATTATTTCCATCAAAAATCGGTACAATTATTTTATGTAATTGGGATCCATCTTGAATTATCTTTTATATGTTTCTAAAAATGTCCTTGCTCCTCCCACTCTGTCTAGTTGGAGAGAACTCTAGATCAGTGTTGATACGTATGTCATTCAACTCCCAAAAATTGGGACAAAAGTTTGTTAACCCAGAATTAAATAGGTAAGCTATCCTGTGTGAATTGAGTTTTTGCCCTTTAACTTTGTGTGTTTAAATGTATCTTAGTTAAAAGACTAGGTTTATTAGTAAATAAATGATCTGCTTCTCTTTACTTAAGGGAGTTATTTTTTTTTGTTAAGTTTTTGGTGATATTCCAGATTAAAATATTACTGAGTTTAATTCCACACAAAGAGAGTTTTTTTTTTTAGTACTTAAAAAAATAATTATGACTATTGTTAAGTCATAATTATAATAAACTTATTTCCCTGATACTTAAGAAGCCCTTTCTGTAGGAAGTTCTAGATAGAGTCTTATTCTAGGAACTGTTCTAGATTACCATACCTGTCATAAATTTCTAATCTTATGTACTGAAAGGTGTCCTATAGTTTTCACACCATATTTATCATGAACATTCAGGTAAACCTTCCTTTAATTTTAAACTATAAAATCAGTATATCTAGGGTGGTAATAAAATCTGGCTTATGTTATAGAAAAATGAGTTTGGATATTGGGTAGGCAGCTAATTGTATCTGTCACAGTCATACCCATTTCTTTTTTTTTTGAGTTGGGGTCTCACTCGGTCATCCAGACTGGAGTGCAGTGGCCGCTCCCGGCCACTGCAGCCTCGACCTGCTGGGCTCCGGCGATTCTTCCGCCTCAGCCTTCCGAGTAGCCGGAATTACAGGTGTGCGCTACTACTCCAGGCTGATTTTTTGATTTATTGTAGAGATGAGGTCTCACTGCCCAGGCAGGTCTCAAACCCGAAGGCTCAGGCAATCCACTCACCTCAGCCTCCCAAAGGCGTGGGATTACAGGCTGAGCCACCAAGCCTGGCTTATACCCATTTCTTATTCAGGGAAAGTTTATATGGTGTGTATCTAGCTTTATACAGTGATGTATTTGTGACAAAAAAAGAAGTTTGGATTTATGACCTACAATGTGAAACCTACAGATTCTGAAGTCAAGCTGTATGAGAAGAAAACAAGATTTGAGGGGTTGACCCCTTAATGACTGAATGACTTTTGTTTTTTTACATTTACTTTTAGGGGCAGCTCTATCAAGTGGAAATTGCTAACATCTAGAGAGGTCAATTTTTTTTTTTTTTGTTTGCCTTCTCAAACTTCCTACAACTGATTTTCTGGAAAAAAAAAAAAAATTAAGAATTTGCTCATTTGACATTTTATGCTTTTTTTTGAAGAAAGTATAGTGTAGTAGAGAAGACAGCATAAGTAGTTGATATTATGGAGTATCGGCTACGTTAACCCCTTGGGGGCTTTTAGCTCTTTGTAATAAAAGAACTATTTTTCAAAACTGCATTACTTATATATACAAGAGGAGGACTGAAAAATCTGGAATTTATTTATAAAAAATTGTGTATTTATTCTTATGTGTTTAAATTTCTGCCACCTTTAAAGTCCTCTGATGCAATACGTCTATCGAGATACCTTTTCCACTGCTCAAAACAGTTTTTGAACTTGTCAATTTTGATGCTTTTATTGCTTCTGCCTTTTTGTTTCGGCTCTTCAACATCAGCAAAATGTTACCCTTTTTTTTTGAGTTGGAGTCTCACCCTGTTGCCCAGACTGGAGTGCAGTGGCTGCTCCCTGCCACCGCAGCCTTGACCTGCTGGGCTCCGGCGATCCTTCTGCCTCAGTCTTCCAAGTAGCTGGAACTACAGGCGCGCGCTGCCACACCCAGCTAATTTTTTATTTATTGTAGAGATGAGGGCTCGCCAAGTTGCCCAGGCAGGTCTCGAACCTGCAGGCTCAGGCAATCCACTCACCTCAGCCTCCCAAAGCGCTGGGATTACAGACTGAGCCACCGAGCCCGGCTCCCCTTTTTTTTTTAAACAGGGAAACAAAAAACAGTCTCTCTGGATGAGGTCAGGTGAATAGGGAGGGTGGGACATGGGGGTCATACTGTTTATTATCCAAAACTAGACCGAACACTCAACATAGCATAGGCAGGTGTGTTGTCATGGTAGAAGAACCAGTCACTCTTGTGCTACAATTCACGGTATTTCTTCTGGAAACCATGACACAACTTTCTCAAAACTTCCAGTTAAAATTTTGGTTGGCCCTTTGATCTTGAGGAACAAATTATGAGTTTACTACAAGCAGTCTGCCCTCCAAAAATAATTCCTGTGTTTTGGGGATCCCCTCTCATATTCTAAGGATTTTGGATCAGTGCTTCCATCTTATCTCTTATCTCTCATAATATATTTCTAGCTTTCAATTTTGACCCAGTTTCAGACTTTTAGAAAATTTGCAAGAATTATACAAAGAAATCACACAGACCCTTCATTCTGATTCTTAGTTGTTAACATCCTTGCCTCCCTCCTCTTCCTCTCCCTCCCTCTCCATCCCTCCCTCTCTCTCCCCCCCTCCCCCTCTCTCCCCCTCTCTCTCCCTCTCTATCCCTCTCTCTCCCTCTCTCCCTCCTCCCTCCTCTCTCCTCCCTCTCCTCCTCCCTCCCTTCCTTCCCTTTGTCTTTTTCTTTCTCTCATGCACCCACTCATTCATTCATTCATTCTCTCATTCATTCTTTTTCCTGAACTTTGAAAATAAACTTGAGAGTAAGTGGCATATATGATGCCTTTTTACCCATAAGTAACTTAATGTGTATTTTCTTAGAAAATCACAGAGCAACTGTCAATCAGGAGATTAACACTTGTGCAGTACTGTTCTAATCTATAGATCTTATTTAGGTTTTCTCAGTAATGTGCTTTATAGCAGAAGAAAACTTTCATATTTGTTTTCATTCAATTCTCGTGTCCCTTTAGCTTTCTTTGTACCTTAGTCTTTTTTAGCTTTTCGTGACATTGATGTTTTTGAAGAGTACACATTATTTTGTAGAATGTCCTTTTACTTTGTTTTTTCTTATGTTTGATTGTGACCTGTAGTTACTTCTAAATAGGCAGTAGACAATGGAATTGCATTGAACCAGTAGTAAAATGGTTATTATAGTGAAACGAGCAGCCATGATCTACTCAGACAGCAAAGTTCCGAAATACACCATTCTTAACACTAGTCCTATGTTATACCTTAGCTCTTCAGACTTGCTCATCCTACATATGTGCTGCTTTCTATCCATTCTTTTACCTGCATCTCTCCCTTCCCCTACCCTGCCCCCTGGTAACAACTGTTTTAGTCTCTGTTTCTATATATTTGACCTTTTTTTTTGAGTTGGAGTCTCACTTTGTCGTTCAGGCTGGAGTGCAGTGGCATGCTTATGGCCCCCGCAGCCTTGTCCAGCTCAGGTGATCCTTTTGCCTCAGCCTTCCAAGTAGCTGGAATTACAGGCATGTGCCACCATGCCTAGCTAATTGTTTTATTTATTGTAGAGATGAGATCTCACCAAGTTGCCAGGCTGGTCTCGAACCCATGGGTTCAGACAACCCTCTCACCTTGGCCTCCCAAAGTCCTGAGATTATAGGCATGAGCCACTGTACCCGTCCTTTTTTTTTAAAGATCCCACATGCAAGTGAGGTTGTGAAGTATTTTTCTTTTTGTGTCTGGCTTATTTCACTTAGCATAATACACTCCAGGTCTATCTGTGTTGTGGGAAATGGTAGGAACTCCTTCGTAAGCCTGAATAATATTTCAGTTTAGCTGGGCTCGGTGGCTCAGCCTATAATCCCGCGCTTTGGGAGGCTGAGGTGAGCGGATTGCCTGAGCCTGCGGGTTCAAGACCCACCTGGGTAACTTGGCGAGACCTCATGTCTACAATAAATCAAAAAATTAGCTGGGCGTGGTAGCGCGTGCCTGTAGTTCCAGCTACTTGGAAGGCTGAGACAGAAGGATCGCCGGAGCCCAGCAGGTCAAGGCTGCGGTGGCTGGGAGCATGCCACTGTACTCCAGTCTGGGCAACAGAGTGAGACTCCAACTCAAAAAAAAAAAAAATTTTTAGTTTATTCTTTTATTCATCAATAGATACCTAGGTTGTTTCCTAATCTTGGCTATTGTGAATAATGCTGCCATAAACATTAGCATACAGATGTCTTTATGATTTGGTGATTTCATTTCCTTTGCATATATACTCAGAAGAGGGATTGCTGAGTCACATGCTAGTTCTATTTTTAATTCTTTAGGAACCACCATACTGTTTTTCATAATGGCCACACCAGTATATTCCTGCCAACAGTTATACAAGAGTGTATACTGCATTATTTGTGCATATACAAGCATTATTTGTATTCACTTAATGTCAAGATAGCTGAGGATCTGAGTGTAGGTTTTAGCTTCACTACCAACTTAGGTGTTTGTGTTCTTTTAGTATGGTATTGGTATGTAGAGGCATCAGGTGCTGTAATGAAGACCAGGTCTTATTCCATAAAACGTTGAAGTTTATTTTCAAAGGGAACTTTGAAAATGATATGATATCTTGGGAACTTCTGAAAGGTATAAAGAGTATGGTAAAGTAGTAATTTGTAAATACTATTTCTTTTCAACCTTGTTTTGGGAATTTATGTTGCCATTTGGTGACAAATTTATATCGCCTTGTTCTTTCTCATCTCTTGTTAATAGAGGGTTTTTTCCAATCTCTTTATTAGGTGTCCCGTTCCCGAGGAATTTCATGTCTGTGGCAAAAACTATACTCAAACGTCTCTTTAGGGTTTATGCTCACATTTATCATCAGCATTTTGACCCTGTGATCCAGCTTCAGGAGGAAGCACATCTCAACACATCTTTCAAGCACTTTATTTTTTTTGTCCAGGTGAGTTGGATTAGGAGGCCTTTGGTGCTTAGTGTAAGCATTTATCTTCATAGTTCCAAGATGAATACAACATCCATACTTTCAGGATAGAATTTGCCATGTCTCCCTAGTC